GGAAAGTGGAAAGAGTAAATCTAGATGGATGCACATAGAAAGTCAATTTGGTCAAAAATAAACTATTAAAATGAAAAATATGCTTTTACTTTAAGCATAATTGCAAAGGAGTACTGATTAGGTTTCAAAGTAACTGATGGTAAAAAATAATGTGTTGAGTTACAGGGTCTGTTTACATTACAGGGTCTGTTTACACCACAGCTTCCATTTAGTGAGGTGAAACAAATGCTACCATGGAAACCTTCTCATTATTGAATATTTAGTCTACTTGAAGACCTGATGAAGGTTCTTGAAGTGGAAATTTGGTTCTTTAGGAGAGTGAAGAACAAGAGACAGTAGGGTGTCAATTTCCTGTCAGGAATCTTCACCCAAGAACTGGAATATTGATTTGCGGCTTTAGTATTATCCCCTTTTGTGCGAGTCCCCAGATTAATTCAATCTGACAGAATGTGACAAGAATTTACTTATCTGCATGCAATGATTGAAGAATGTTTTCATTTCATGGTAGTGACAAAATCTTTTCAAATAACATTGCACTGCTGTCATATTCACCTCACCTGCATGCTTTGTGTGTGTGTGTGTGTTGGGGGGGGGGGGGGGCACAGATAATTAACTTTAAGCACATTCATTTATATTTACCATTTAGAAGGAAAATATATATCATTTGAAGAAAAAAAAGGACAAAAATGTTCCAGATGGTATTTTGGGACCTTTCTACCATTTGACCATCAGTGAGTAAAAAAGGAACATTGTAATGTACATGTCAGTTGTTTTGTGTTACATCAATTAGTGCATGATAAAATAAGGTGGATGTTTAACAAAGATCTACTTAGGAATCTATTCTCCAACTGTATGAGGTTCATTGTCTTACATGTGTCAGACAACACTGAGATTTCTTGTTTTTTTTTTTTTTTTTTTTGGTTTTTTTTTTGCTATACAACATAGAACCCCACTATTTATAAAATGTTTCTACTACTCCATTAAAAAAATCCATACCAAAAACGAGCCCAAAAAGAGAATGTGACTTATTTATGTGATGTATAGGTCTAATTATGGCATGTATTCTACAACCATGTATCTGCTATAAAGTTGCAGAGTGCCAAATCAATGTCTGTTGGTAGCCTCCCCTGGGGGAGGTAGGAGATTGGTGGTGGTGAAGGTGATAATTGATTTATGATATGGTAATTTTCCCGTGTTTTCCTGCTAGGATCAGCTCACAACACAGAGCAGACATGGTGTCAATCTCATCATCGGAAAACTGATACGTAGAGTCCATAAAACTGATGGTTAATGCCAAATAGTCCAGCTGATCAAAGTCTTCTCAGTGTTTGATCAGATTTCTTCTGAAATGGAAGAATTTCCTGTTACAAATAAGGAATACCATAAAAATTATCCACTCGGTGAAAAAAGTATTACTGTGGAAAATTGCTGTAATTAGAAAAAAATTCACATCAGTTTAGTCCTTTATTGGAAAACTCAACACTTTAATTTTATATGAGGTGTATTGGTGTTGGATACTTCCTTATACTTCAAAATTTTATTACTAGCATTTTGGCTCACCTGAGCTATATAAGCTCAAGTGAGCTTTTCTGGTCACTGGCTGTCTGGCTTCCTTTTGTCTTTTCTGTCTGCCCATCCATGTGTAAACTCTACTCACTTCTTTTCTAGAAGCACTCAGTCTTGTTTTATTTTAACTTAATAAAGCATCATTGGGTAAGCGGGATTCAAAACTATTCAAAAGAAGAGCTTAACAACCATTTCAAAGGGAAGATAATAAATAGTAAAAAAAAAAAGATTTGAAAAAGTCATTTACTCAACAACCACTGGGCCAGAAAAATAAAACTTAAGTGAAAGCTACCTTAATGGGTATATAGACTCAAATTTCATCAAAGTTTTACATGCGGGTATATACACTACTTAAGAAAAATATATTTTAAATCTTCTCAAGTTGTTAATATGCTAGCATCCTTTGGTAATACAGATTCTGGTTTGTTTTAATCATGGCCCCTGGGGGAAGGGTTGGGCTACTATAGGGGATCAAGGTTTTACATATGTATGTAAGACGAATATAAGAAAAAATATTTTAAAATTATATCTTTTTCAAGAAGCATGTCTTTGGTTAGTCATATTAAAATGCAATCATCTTCAGATAGTGCAGACTCATTTTTTTTTTTTCAAAACGTATTCAAATTAGAGGCTAGGATGACTTGACAATTGAGATTCCAAATTTTACTTGAGAATATATAGGAAATAAAAATCTTCTCAAGAACGATAGGGCTGTGATTAGTGTACAATGGTAGTGCAAATTCAGGTTTATCTTTTTTTCTAAATTATGGACCCTAGGATTATGTTCTGGGCTAAAATATGGGGATAAAATTTGGGGAAATAAAACTCTTTTCCAGAACAGCAGGACAATGTTAGTCATAATGAATTAAAGCATCCCCATTTTTGTGTGGTAAGACTTCACCTCTGTGAGCTAGGATGAGGCCACAATTGGGGATCAAACTTTTTCATGTTTTTAAGGAGGCAAAGTGTGATGAAGAACGGCAGGGGCCAAGCTTACTCAGGTGAGCATTGTGGCCCATGGGCCACTTGTTTAACTTTAATTAACAATATTAACAATGGGAGAGAGAAACTTTTGTTGATAAGGATCCTCTAGATACTTCCTATAATGTCTGTCCTAGCTTCTTCATTTTTCTCGGTGATAAAGTGACAACTGTTGTAATGTTATTGTCCCCTGACTGCTGTCTCAGACCCAGCCTGCCCGTGATAGAATGCCTGGTGATTATTGAAGTTGTGGGACCTATCATAGTACTGTCATTCTCTGGTGTGAAGTGATCATTGAGCAGATCCCTGTGGACCCCAGAAAATCAGGCTTTGATTGAGAGACAATGACAAGAGGAGATATTGGATTTCCATGTCTCCTCCATTAGTCTGTGGTCTTACAACTGTTCACAGTTGACAGGCAAGGTGTGTTCTGGTTAGTGTGAAAACATAATTGTAGGGGGATTAGTGTTAAACTTGAAAAGAGGCATGTCACAAAGAGGGATAAATGGAGCTTTCTTTTTGTAGTCAATTGAAATAACTTGTTCCATTTAACAAGAGAGTATTAATCAGTCGAATGATTTCTTGGTTACTGTAGATCACTTAATTTTTGTGACATCTTAATTTTGCAAGATAGTCATTGACTCTTTATTAGCTAGAAAAAAATTTCACAAATTGTGGTTATTGCTCTATATAATCCTAAGGAATCCTAATATATGTGAGAATGAAATTTTTCGCGAGCACACTAACTCGCGTAATTACGCGAAAATAAAGTTTTTGTGAAGAAATAGTGATTTACAGTACCCAATCCCATGACAACAGCACATGAAATAAAAATCAAGAGACTTTTCTTTTGCCTACACCGAAGCACAGATAACATTCACTATGTTTAGGTTCATTAGTTAATTCTTACTCTGAAGCATGATGACACTAATGCCAGATTTGAGCAGGAATCTTAGGAAGCTGTCATTAATTTTTTGATGTATCAGTCTTTTTATCAATGAGGTAGAATGCAGTACCTTGTCACAATGTCATGTCCAATGTTCATAGATTTTGTGTTTTCAAGCAAAAACTTAATCAGTTGTTGATTATCGGGTAATTTTCTCCTTCCCTGGACAGAATTTTTCATAATGTCTTATCAGGAACTCCATAATTATGATGAAAGTGAAATCCACTTTTTCTACCGCAAGCCATTATGATAAACCTTTGAAGCCCCTGTATTCTAGAAGAGACACTGTCTTTGAAGAGGGTTACCAGTGGAAAGAAGATTGATTTTTATAAAGGCTTGATTTTCCAAGTTCTTTGTATGATTTATCTTCACTGAATGCAGTCAGTTTTTCCATCTACCATGATGATGTGCATTATGACAGTAATTAAAGAGGGATAACTCTAAATTTCTTTCAGGAAAAAGAAACTTGCCAGTGACTTTAAAATAATGATATATCAAATTTCTAATGTCAGTGTTTGAAACTCATGGTAAAGTTAGTAAGACGTACAGGGCTGTTTGCTAATAAAATTAAAATTTTCATCCCTGCCAAAGGTCTACTAGCCCTAAGAAAATAATGGCCTTTTATGAATTTGTATTAGTGATTACATGACTGGGACTGCCAAAGACCAAGTCACCATAACTTTGATCCCTAATTTAATCACCAGTACTGAAGAGTTCTGCCCCTTGCTTTGCTAATGCTTTGCTAATGATACTATTAAGCAATTTGAGAGAGATTTATAAAATATCTGAACTTTAATCAGCTGAAATTTTAACATGTCTAGCTGGTCATCAATAAATGAAATTTTGTTTTGTCTGCTGCAAAGTTTGTGCATTTCTGATGGTTGGGCACATGGTTATTTGAAACTGTTAATGTGAATATATATTTTAATATATAATACCATATATTTTTTTAATTTTGCAGACAAAAGAATATATTCAGATGCTGATTTTGATAAAACAGCAACTTTTCACCAATAATTAGCAGAAGAAGGCATCGCTGGAAGTAAGTAGAACCATATTTTATTGAGGATCAGAAAAATTATTAAGCCACTTATTTATTATTTGGTATTAGTGAAATTATTACAGAGTTGTCCCCCTTTTGGCAGTATACTTTGTCACAAAGAAATGGTGTTTATATTTTTTATGGAAGATTATTTGAAGGATGCTAAAGAGCAAGACTCGTGGACAAGTATTTTCTGTAAAACAATTACATTTATTTTTCTCTTCTAAATCAATCAAATACATGGAGATACCTCGCATGTTGCATCCTGGGTGGCAGATTTAATCATCACCTGAGAATTTTCTCAACATGCTTTCTCTCATGATTGTGTAAAAGTTTATTATACATGTACGTATTATTGATCCCTGGGGGTATGTATTGATGTGGAAATACATATCACTAATCCCAACCTCTCTGTGTCTATGTTGAGTGAGGTGAAAAAGGTAGAAACGCCAGACTCGCAAGAAA